GGGGGGGGGGGGAAGAGAAGGATGATTCGAAACCAAAGGTAAGTAAGTCAGGTTCATTGATTTTGTTAGTCTGTGTTTTCGTATGTCGTTTCTTCATGAGTGTTGGTGGCGAGGTAAAACGGGCAATGATCAAATTCTACCAAAGGAGGGGATAATGGAGGGTTTCCATGGCAACGGGAGCAGCGTCAGTGTCAGGAGTTTGGTGACGATCACCTCTCTCATATCTCGTTACATCAGTCTCTTTGTTTGTCTGTTTGTTCGTTTGTCTTTTCGTTTGTCTGTTTTCTTTTGTCTGTTCGTTTGTTCGTTTGTCGCCCCACTGTTTGTATGATTTGTTTGATGTTCTTACAACTGTGTGTGTGTGTGTGTGTGTGTGTGTGTGTGTGTGTGTGTGTGTGTGTGTTTATTCGTCGTCCCCCTCTTTGCTCTTGTGTAATATGTTTGTTTATTCGTCGTCTCCCTCATGGCCCCGTGTGAAATATGTTTTGTTTATTCGTCATCTCCCTCATGGCCCCTTTGAAATATGTTTGTTTATTCGTCATCTCCATCTTTGAACTTGTGAAATTTCCTTATTTTATTCGTCGTCTCACTCTTTGCTGAAAGTATACAAAGTTCGTTTATTCGTCGCCTTCATCTTCGCTAATCACAATGTTAATGTCCCCCCAATGTTAGTTGATTGGTCACCCCTGTCTCAGCTTATCACCACACAGTTAGTTTATTGGTCACCCTGTCCTCGGCTATTCACACACAGTTCGCTTATTGGTCATCTCCCCAGTGAAACCCGTCTACCCCTCGCTTGCTGTCTACGTCATCGATGTAGGCGTCGGGGTAGGCGTCGGGGTAGGCGTCGGGGTAGGCGCTGAGCTGGTACTGCGACAAGACGTCCCTGAGAAGGTCAAGGTTGGATCGTTTGCCGAAGCGGAAGAGCGTCCTCTTCACGTCGGAGTCGTCAGCCAGCGGGAACGCCCCCGACCCCGAAGCCACGCCTCTCTTGCCGAACCGGAACAAAGCCCCGCCCCTTTTGCCGAACCGGAAGAGAGCCCCGCCCCTTTTCCCGAACCGGAAAAGAGAGCCTCGCTTCCCGAACCGGAAGAGGGTCCCTGCGCCTCGTTTGCCGAACCTGAAGAGTGTGCTTCTCTTGTCGGCGGTTCCTGGGAGAGAGAGGGGGATCCCTGGATAGCTTCCTCCCACTCCCTCCTCCTCTCCCTCGTCCGCTCTGACCAACAGCGCGTCATCGGCTGG